CAATTTATTTGAATAGATTCGGGCCATTTGGAGTCGGATACTCGTGGCAAGAACGTGTTATCGGGGTGATTTGAGCGGTTCGAGATAAGTGGCTTGCCTAACCTTGTGTTGGGGACTTTTCCCTTAGGATGTCTTGATATTATTTGGTGTGTGGGTACCGTGTACGTGAGATGATGAGTACGTACACGGGTTGTTATTGCAAAAATCCTGTTTATCCTTTTTAAATCATAAATTGCTTCTCTTATTAAATTGCTCTAATATGCTTAATTGTTTAGTTTAGACTAGAAGATCATGCTTACGTGTTTTAACTGCCTATTTGACATTCTGTGTGCCATGCTTAGTTAAATCCATATTCCCTTATCTGTGTTCAGTATAAAATGTATAACTCGATGCCATACCTGCCATTTCATCTTGCGTTGCATATTTAAATTGGGACTACAAATGTATTCTGGGAGATCCTCTCCCCCTGTCTTGCATATTTACTTTGGGACTGCGGACGTATTCCGGGAGATCCCCCAGCACTGCATATTTACTTTGGGACTACGGACGTATTCCGGGAGATCCCCCAGCACTGCATATTTACTTTGGGACTACGGACGTATTCTGGGAGATCCCCCTGTACTGCATATTCATTCGGAACTACGGGACGGTATCCCGGGAGATTTCCCACTGTGTTTACCTTATTTTGGAGCCGAGGGCTTCCTTAACTGTTTAATTTTCGAGAATTTCTTTAACTATGTTACCGTAAATTTCACTTATATCTTTTACTATTTAATTTATTATATTTACTCCGGTAGGGCCTTGACCTGACCTCGTCACTACTCGACCGAGGTTAGACTTGGCACTTACTGGGTACCATTGTGGTGTACTCATGCCCTTCATGCACATGTTTTCGTGTGCAGATCCAGGTACGAGCTATCAGCCTTGGAGTTAGTGCGTGCTGCTGATTCTAGGAGACTTCAAGGTACTTCTGCTTGCGTCCGCAGATCTTCAGAGTCCCCTTCTACTCCCTCGTCTAGAGACTTTCCTTATTATCTTCAGACCTTTGTATAGAGCTACATAGATTATAGCAGCCTGTGACTTAGTGATATTCCGGGTCTTGGGAAATTATTTTGTATATGCCGAGTGGTACTACTCTTGGCTATTTATAATATGTTGTTTATCTTTAAAATGTTGTGTTTTCTTTATATTTTTTCGCAATATTAGGCTTACCTAGTCGTAAAGATTAGATGTCATCACGACACCTTACGGAGGGTTAATTTGGGTCGTGATACTACGTTAGCAGATCCATGGACATTTTTATTTCCGTTGAAATTACCAAATTGATTAGCAGAAGCAGCAACCACATTTAACATTTCTGTTACTGTGTTCTTGCCAAAGAAAACATATTGTTTTCTGCACTTTCAGCGGAGTCTTAACCAAAATGTGACAATATTAAAATCTATTAAGAGGTATTTGTGAGCTTAATACATAATTCAAATTGTGAAGAGCTTGTAAAGTTTTTTACTTTCAGCTACAATGAAATGCAATAACTGGAAAATATTTTCTCTCTTAGTTGTCAAATTGAGGAAGATATTTTTTCTCAGATATAGTTTGAAAAATGTTGAGATCTCATAGCAGTCCAAGAGTGAAAAGGTGAAAAATCTCAGATGAAGTATTTCTATAATAACAGTAGTCAAATTTACCTCTGGTTTGGCTAAAGCCTCTCTTTAAGAGTTCATGTAAACATGAAAGGTACTGTACTCTTTTCCTAAAATACAAGCACTATTTCTGACGGTTGCCACAAAGGAGCAAAATGAAAGACCAAATCTTTTTTTATATGTCAATATGCAGAAGACCAACATATATTCAACCACACATTTTGAATAGTAATTATGTCGAATAGGTTGATATTAGTTTATATGCAAGAGCTAAACATGCTATTCGCACCTTTCATCTATGTCTTCCAACCAGCAAAGTCAAGAATAACGATGTCATCCTGGGAGATAGTCACCTAGAAAAAGAGAAATGTTATTCAACATGATAAAATTGAATAGCTAAAGAATCGCACCGGAGACGTGCACCACTAAATATGGGCTATGGCAGCAGCAATCATATCTACTAAAACATTAAAACTCCTACAAAGAACAAAGAAATTCAAAGAACTTCCTCTAACCCCTAATTCTAATGCACATAGAGGTTTCCAGACCATGCATCATTGTTTCCAGGCGTGCTACTTTCAGAAATAAATAGCGCTGAAATCCCAAATTTCCAGTGCCAGACAAAAACCCTCTCTATAATCCTCGGCTTAATTTCTCTATTCCAAACGTTAAACCCACGAAACACCAAAGAAAATTTATTTTTTGACCAATTCTTAATAATAAAATCCACTCCAAACAGTTTACCGGCAAATCACAAAAACCAATTCTTAATAATAAAATCAAACACATCGGAGAACCAAAAAGGATGAAACCTATTAAGTCAAATAGCCAAACCAATACAACAGCAAAGTTGAAGAAGCAGAACAAATTACAGAGAGATGAAAATAGAATGCCATCAAAATTACCTAAAATCAAATTACCCAAAATCAAAATTATCAGATTATTCTTTACCCCCGAACCAAGAAATTAAATCCAAAGACAATAATAGAAATCGAGTAGAAAGTCTGATTCATTGAAGAATTTTTTTCAAACACATATATAACAAATGCCCTTATTCTCAAGGAAATACACAGAAGTTGGGGTGAAGGAAGCGAAAATCCAGGCAAAACATAACTGACATGATTACTATTTCGAAGCCGCAAAAGAAAAGACCAGAAGAGACAAAGAAAAATTGAAGAGGAGTTGAGAAAGTCATGAAAATCTGGAGAAAGAGTAGTATGGGCCTTCAGTTTGAGTTGAGACGTCGCAGCTGGAAATCAAAGATAACACGTGTCTCTAGAAAGCTAAAATAATTGAAATTTCCCGAAATACCCTTACTACCCCAAGCTCCTCTCTTAGCCGTTTCTATAATAGTAGTAATATATATCTAGAAAGTAGTGGCTAAGGGGAGGGGAGGTGGCACTCTCATCGTCCATCTTTCGCATTTATCTCTATTGTCAAATTTTTGCCTTTTTCCTTTAATAAATGATGAGAGGAAAAAAAAAAAAGCAATTCAACAGTCGCTACTTTTCTTTACAAACAAAATCGCCATTTCTTTTAATTCTCTCCAATCTTAAGTATGGCTCTTTCGCTTCCTCTTTTCCTTCCCTGCAAATCTCCTATCCTTGCAAACATTCTTCTTTTCCTCTTCTTCCTCCCCTCGCCACTGGTAGAATTCTTCTTTTGTTTCTTCAATTTTTCTTAATACCTTCATTTTTTGTTCCGACCCTTCCTACTACTTGCCATATGTAAATCTCCCCTCTCTGTTATTATAATTTCCTTATCTCTCTCATGTTTGGTAGGCCTTTCAAGGTAGCAAGAGTCTGAGGATTTAAAATTTGAAGCAAATGATAAGATGAAAACTAAGAACTGGTAATCTGGTATGACATTCCTTTTGTAAATTTTGTAGCTTTATAGTTTTTGTGCTGTAGGATCTCTGTTTAAACCCACTTGTGTGTGAGAATAGAAGCACAGAAAAAGTAATTTCATAATCTGATTTTAGTTGATTAAGATTATGGTGTCTGCGCACGAAGCCAGCTTCACTCCAACCAGAAGAACATGAGTATGAGTGTATGACTAAGGTTTTCTTTTTAAAGTCGATAACGTCAGAGAGTGAAATTAGCGAGAAAACGTAGGAAGAGTTTAAGTACTTTCTTAGATTTCACTCTTTTTACTTTTTCTTTTTTGGTTCTTTTATTCTATCATATATATTTGTCTACGAGATTATCAAAAAAAAAAAAGATATTTGATATCTTGGTGAATACCATTAATGTTTTTGAACGATTATTATTATACATTATAGTACTATGGAGTTTTTTCCTTGATTATTATTATTATCAATCATGTATCATTTAGTGATCTTTTTCTTTTTTCCTATTTACAAGATTGTACAACACTAATATTTTGGGTATATATCAGTGCTTAATTTTCCTTTGGTATGTAATAAGGATAACTATTTTCCTTTTTTTTTTTTACCCTTTAAGACTGATTTTCCGTTGATCAGTGCGTGCCATTGGCATCATTGCTCCTTCTTCTTACATTGTTTATCTTCTTATCTTTTAAGGTTAATTGAACTTGAAACAACACAAGTCGAGAAGAAAAGGGAGAACTAATCAAAAACTTAGTAGAATCAACGAGAGAAGTAATCATCGTGTTGAATTGATGAGAGAATTCCCTAATGTTATATTAGTGGCTACTCCTTCTAGACACCTGCAGAGAATTTCAAAAATGCAGGTTATTCCGTTTTTCTTGTGACGTTTTGTTTTGATATTGTTGTATTTACATGATAACTATTGCAATGAAGTTAGGTATCTATTAGGTCGTGCCAGTTGTTAGTAATTTGAATAATATGAGTATTGCGAATAGAATTGTCATCAGTGTAGTGCAATATAGCAGTTTACTTTTCCTTTTTTCTCCTTAAATAAGCAATTTCAGTTTTATATTTTGGGTTTTTGCTCGTATTACCCTTCTACCTTTCTTTCTCCTTTTACTATGTATTCTTCCAGTTTTAATGACTATATAGATAGAGAAGTTAGGTGTTTATGATGGAGTCTGGTGTGAATAGGAGAAGAGGATTTTTTTGTTACTCCATTATTGCATATATTTAAATTATTTTTAAAACTTCTATATCTGAATCATTATAGTATATCAATTTATACATCACTACTTTATGTTTTAATAGTCCTGATTGAGATTTGGTGGTAAGGCCATCATAGAAGTATACTAGAGTGTTCGGAAAACTATAGCCATTAGTGCAGCCTGAAATAGAAGCTTGAATTCGATAAATTTCCGCTAAAGAAACAAGTGTAGGGATGTTTTTGTTCTAACTGAGGAGTTGTGCAAATAATTGAATAAATAAGGAAAATCACCCGAGAATAGAAACAACATTAGAAGACATTTTTATAAAATAATTTAGAAAATTTAATAAATTTTTTGTGTTAGTTAATGAAATACTAAGGGCATAAATTCAGTAGTGGGTCAAAAACATGAAGGGTTAGAAGGTGGCGTTGCACCTATCTTAAAAGAATTGTTTTTTTACGTTTTAGATTTTAATCTCAAAAAGTCTCTCATATAGAGTTTAGACTGTTTACATTTTCATCATAACCTCGGAAATTGGTATCGGATAGTTGTTCAACTTCTTCTCTACACTTTGCTCATTTGTGTTATGCTTGCAACGATATATGCATTTAACTTAGCTACAACATTGTAATGATAAGAGAAAGCTTCTTCTTTTTTTCCAGCAAAATTGTAATGCCTTTTGGGGCACAAAGTTCGACAACAATGTCGTAAAATATTGATTATAGTTTTCTGCCCCTTACTATCTCCTTCTTTTTCTTCCTTGCACTTCCATAGAGAAATATCCCAACTCTTTCTCTTCTTTCTCCTAATCCCTGAGGGTAAATTTCCTCTTTCTTAGTTTAAATTTTTGTCATTTTCTTTCATGTTTGGTGAGTGTATGGTGTATCTCTGTATTTTAATTAGGAGAAAAATAACCGCATGATGACTTATTATCTGTTGCAATTTTTGTTTGCTGGATTATGCATTTTTTCTTCCTTTTTGGGTGTTTGACATTTAAATAAAGCATAAAGGCAGTTCATATGATGGTTGGTTTTTATAGAGTTCAAGTTAAATTTAAACGGATTATGTAACGACCCGACCGATCGTTTTGAGTTCTAGCGCAACGTTCGGCGGTTTGAGGTCTTTAGTAGCTTCACTTCATGTATTATGACTTGCACATGTAGTCGTATTAGATTTTCGGGGAGATCAGAGTTGGTTTGGATGAATAATTCTCAATTCATAAGCTTTAAGTTGGAAGAGTTGACCAAGGTTCGAATTTTGAGTAAACGACCTCGGATCGGAGTTTTGACGGTTCTGTTAGGTCCGGATGATGATTTTGGACTCAGGCGTATGTCCGAATTTGGATTTGAAAGTCTGTAGGTTGATTTGATGCTTTTAGCAAAAGTTGGAAGATTGAAGGTTTAAAAGGTTGATAGATTTGACCGAGAGTTGACTTTAGTGATATCGGATTCGGATTATGGTTTCGGGAGTTGGTATAGGTCTGTTGTGTCATTTGAGACTTGCATGCAAAATTTGAAGTCATTCCGGGTTGGTTTGGTATAGTTCAGCATTAGTTTTAGAAGTTTAAAAGTTCATTAGTTCATTAGGTTTGAATTGATGTGCGATTCATGGTTTTTATATTGTTTGGTGTGATTTGACGCCTCGAGTAGGTTCGTGTTATGTTTTGGGACTGGTTTGTGTGATTGGACGGGGTCTCGGAGGCCTCAGGTGTGTTTCGGATGTGTTTGGGTTGTGTCGCGCTCTTATTTGATGTTTCAGCGTCGTTTCTTTGGGCATAAAGGGCACTATATTGAGCAAACGACCTATGATTTGTGATTAGATTAAACAATTAGATCCGTATCATAATTACGGAGCTAGTGCAACCAGAATCGTCGAATTTCGATGTCGTATGAGAGAGTTATGCACATTTCCGTGTCGGACAAAATTACTGAATTCTGGTGCGAAGCTTTGTTTTTCGCGAACGCGAGAGAGGTTCCGCGAATGCGAAGAAGGATTTCTGGGTTGACCGGTCAACGCGAAAAATTGCTCTTTGCGAACGCGAAGGTGTCCCGCAAAGACGAAGAACAAAAATCGCATGGATAGTATTTTAAATGGACAGACCGAGCATTTTAGTATTTGAGCATATCTTGAGTTCTAGAGATCCGTTTGAGGTGATTTCGCAGCTTTGTTCTCGTCCCAATAATGGGGTAAATATCTGACCTTTATTTTGATGTTTCTTCATGATTATTTCCGTTGGTTATTATTTTTATCCGTGTTTGGATTGTAGAAATTGAGATTTTGAGCCCCAAAGTTGAGAAATAGTAAATCCTTGATTTGAGGGTCGATCTATGGACGGAATTGGATGATTTTCTGGATATATACCATATGAGTTATGGATAATATTTATTTTCAATAATTTTGGGAATCCGACACGTGGGCTCGGGGGTTGACTATGTTGACTCTTCGAGCGGAGTTGAGAATTATTATAAATTATTAAATTACGAGTGTTGGAGTATATTTTGATTGGTTTTGCACGTTATTTGATTAGTTTCGGATCTTTTGGCATCGGTTTGAGGAGTTAGAGAGGCGTTGAAGCCGGTTATCATAGTTTGGAGTGAGCTAAGTCTCCTATCTAACCTTGTGAGGGGGAACGTACCCCGTAAGTGTTATATTTATTATGTGCTATATGTTGTGGGAGCTATGCACGCATGAGGTGACGAGTGTCCGTGCGTATGCTAGAATTCCTGATTATGTTCGGGTAGACTTACACTCCCACTATGCTTTAATTATACTATTTGAGTTATTCTTGCATGTTTAAATGCTTTAATTTACATTTAGCCCGTGACTAGACTTGCGTAGAGTATCAGACTTGCCATTTTAGATACTTGACGAGCTACTTGATTAGCCGTAATTGTGCTTTCTTTTACGGATTTCTTTTGCGTTGCGCGTATTCCTCCGATAGTTTTCTTGAACTTTATAACTCACAGTATATTCGTGAGTGGGGTCAGTGAACCGTCAAAATTTCATATTCTAATGGGATGTGGCTGGTCGCCTCAACAACACGCTTATGGGAGCGGGTCGTTCGCCTCGGCAGAGTAACATATTCTTATGGGAACGGGTTGTTCGCCTCGGCTGTATCATGTAACACACTCTTATGGGATTGGGCCGTTCGCCTCGGTAGAGTAACATATTCTTATGGGATCGGGTTGTTCACCTCAGCAGTATCATGTATCATATTCTTATGGGATCGGGCCGTTCGCCTCGGCAGGATTATGTATCACACTCTTGTGGGATCAGGCCGTTCGCCTCGGCAGTTCTATGAAATACTCTTATGGAATCGGGCCGCTCGCCTCGACAGAATCGTGCGAAATACATCATAAGGAATCCGCGTACTCATGAGTTTCCTGAGTACGCGTTGATTTACGTACTCATGCTGCACTTCTGCACTAAATGTGCATGATCTAGCATGTTCATTTGGGTGCGTAGGCGCAGCTGCTGAGGGGACTTTATGGTAGGTTGCATTACATGCTACGATTCGCAGCACACAGAGTCTCCATCGTAATTATTTACTTTATCCTGTCTATCTTGTATTCCAGACAGATGTTGTATTATTATTGTACTTCCTAGTAGATGCTCATGCACTTGTGACACCGGATTTTGGGATGTTCTAGAATTTGTTTATGATTTTTTTAACCATTGACACACTTTTACTTTATATTTCATTTAAATTGTACGTATCTACAATTTTTAATGCATTGATTTCCCTATCTAATAGGATTTATGATTTTAAAAAATAATAAAATAAATAATTAAGTTGTTAGTTCACCTTTGGTTTGCCTAACGGCGAGATTGGACGCCATCTCGACCTATAGTGGATTTTGGGTCGTGACAGATTGTGTGAATGTTTATGGTTCTTTATTATCTTTAATATGTTTTTATGCAGTATATGTAAAGTTGGGGAAAATATTGAGCTTTTCTTTTCTTTTTTTGGAGGCTTGGAACAATAGGACAAACAAGTACGTTTTAAGGAATCTAATAGGAGACTTGTGTATTGGAGTTTTGTCCTCCTTGAAATTTAATCGTACATTCACACATGTAAAAGGAAATAAGAGGAAGCTGCAACATTTTGAGGGAGCTATTGTATTCCACTGTTTTAGAGAAGCAAATCTCCTACAGGTTACAAAGCTAATTGGAGCTTAAAGTTGAAGCACATGGCTTGCTATTATACTTCTGAAAAGCATCCAAGAGAAGTTTAGAAGGTTAAAAGGAGTTTCATATGTTGTTGTCTTTGTATAAATATATAATAGTTCGTTTACTCCTTTTTTTCTAGCTTAACTGATCATAGTAGCAAAATTGTACATGAGACTTGTCTTTTTTCGCTAACCATATTTTTGCAGCTTTGTATAAAAAGAAAAGACAGCAGATGGGGATCATGTCCTAGCCCTCGGACTATATATGTGACTTTTCCAATAATAAAGAAAAGACTTGACTAATGGAGTTTGAATAAGCAGATTTCTCTGATGTTACTTCAAATTTGCTGATGATGATTGTAAGTGGACACATGTTCTTGGTTGATCCAACATACTGTGTGTGACAAAACTTTCTCACAAGAGTTTCATAGTGATAAGAGGAAATATTTAAACATTAGATTGAATACTACAACACTTTATGTTACAGTTATGTTAGCCAATATTCCATCAACTATGCTCTAAAAGAGGATGATTGTATCTGAAAGATAAATAATTTGTAGAATGTGGAACTTTATTACTATGAAGGAAAAAAAAGGTTGATTAGACATGTTTATTTGTGTATGAGTTTTGTCAAGATAAATCTAAAAAAAATACACGTGATACTTTTTAATTGATCTGTTTTATGTTTTATCTTGATATGTACCTTCTATCTTATATATTTGACTTTTAAATTTTTCATATTTATGTCTTTCATTATTTTTTATTTTTTATTGCTTCTATATTAAATTTAGAAAAAAATTATATTAAATTGCATGAAGCGCGGGTAAATTAACTAGTTTTTTGATATTTAAGGGACTAGAAGCACAAATTTTCCAAATTAAATTTGTGAGTATACTAATAATTCTCGTATTATAATTGAAGCATGATTTATTTTTTGGACTCTGATACAGCGAAATTGCATAATTCCACGCGCGGCAACAAGGCGCCAGAGGGAAAAAATTTCAAGTAAATTTCCCGCCTTGTCGGATTACAACCCTCGCGCCAAAATCCGACCATTTGCAACATAGACAATTAGGCACGCACACATTCTTCTTCTCTACTCTATCCCTTTACAGCTTCGAAGTTCGAAGTATCTCTAGCCGACAGCGAAGAGTTTCAAGTGATAACGACTCAGCCCCATTGTTAAAATTAGAAATGGAAGGATCTAATAAGCATCAATCTTTTTTTCAAGATATCAAATCAAGAGAGCTTCACGGATTCCGAGGTTTCCCTCAAATCTCTTCTCTTCTGTATCTTTTTGTGTTATAAATATCAATACCTAGTTAGAGATGGATCTATAATTTAAAATCTACGAGTCCAAGTAAATAAATGAAGTGTACCCACTGCTTTTATGCTGAATCTGCCTATTGTCACTAACATGAGTTCATCAATTTGATTACAAATTCTTCTTACTTTATTTGTGTATTTCTCCAGTTATAAAAAGACCATATATCAGCATTGAATCGTCTGAGGTTGACCAAATTGGTGCCGTGGCTGTTGAGCACAATGGCAACACGCCACCTCCAATGGCCATCTCGTTCTGCAAGGTTAGATATATGAATCAAACGAGTCTCAATTCAAATAGTGTAAAATATTTTTTAATTTTGACTCGTTGGCAAGTCATATACTAATATTTTGTTGTTATGCAGACAAGTAAAAATTCACATATACTTGCTGTTGCTGATGAGGGTGGCTATGTTAGCTTGTATAATACCAGGTTGAAATTTCCTCCTCCATCAACACACCAGCAAAATGCAGGTAAATTATTAACTAAAAAATTCTTTCTAAATTCTGAATTTTGCTTTGATGTTATATTTCTTGGACTTCTACCTGATCAATTTGCAATTTACAGAAAAAGCTAAGATGTTAGAGTGGGTCGCTCATGAAAATGCTATATTTGATGTATGTTGGATCAAGGTACATCTCTGCTTCCAAGTTAATTTGATAACCAAGATATTTTCTCAATGTTGTCAAAGGCTAAAAGCTTTAAAAAAGCTGTAGGTCTATTGGCACTTTATGCACAAAGTGCTGTTAAAGTGCAAGCTTTATTAGAAAAGGCGCAATGAAGAAAAAACAATATATATATATGCAAGAAAAAAGCAACAAATTCATTCATAATGATTTCCTTGATAAAAATATGTCTCTTGCCGATAATATTTATTGTTTAGTACTGGTCGATTCAAGATAAAATTCATGGGCAATGATTCACATGCCTTAGTGCCTTGCCTACATTGAAATGCAACTTAAGTGAGGGCTTTTCGGAGTGTCAGGGCGTAATAGCACCTTAAATGAGCCTTTGACAACACTTATTCCTATTACTGAATATTAGACATGAGCTAAAGCAACTGATAGAACCAATATATGGGAGTGTCAAAAAATGTTCAGGAAAGAGAAGCAAGTTTGGGGCATTGCATCCTAAGAGATCCACACTAAGGAGTTTAGAGTTCCAAGCAAAGATTGGGGAAGAAATAAATTGAATGCTCGAAGAGAAGAAAATAAGATAGTTTCAGCCCAGCACCCAAGGGTGTGGCCTAATGTTCAATGAAGTGGGTGAGAACTATGAGGTCTCAGGTTCAAATCCTAACGGAGGCAAATACTAGGTATTTTCTTCCCATCTATCCAAGCCTTGGTGGATAGATTTACCTGGTACCTGTTGCTGGTGGGAGGTGGCAGGTACCCCGTGGAATTAGTCGAGGTGCGCGCAAGCTGGTCCGGACACCTCGGTTATCAAATAAAAAATAAAAAAAAAAAGATAGTTTCAGCCCAATCAGACATCCATGTTTTTATTTCTGTAAAGAATATATTAGTATTAGAGTCTGAGTTTGATAGATCTGTCATAATTTGTTAATTAAATAATAATAAGAATACCTGAATCTTCAATCCTCATTTATCTTTTTTAGTTTTTGCTAGGATAACCTAAAATGAAGCCGGGCAGATATATTGGCTTAGACATGTTGAAACATGAATAGAGGCATCTGCTAAACTACTATAATTTCCATGTGTTTTTGTTTTCCTGCAATCATTTTTCAGTTATATCTTGTTAACACGACATACATTTGATCTTTGCAGGATGATACAAATATATTAACTGCTTCAGGCGATCAATGCGTGAGTGACTATATCTGATATTTGTTTATGTAGTAGAAACTGAGTTAATATTTGGTTGTCAATTTAAACTGTTCTATGTACTTTAAGGACAAAGCATCTGGTTACAGTAGCATTTGCATATTGACTGCTCGATCGTGGTGTTTATACAATTGAATTTGATTAGAATTTTTGTGAAGGTTCACCCTTCTAATTGGACTGTGATATTTAATTATGTAGAAGCTTAATGATTCTCTAAGGTCATTATACAAAGTTTGTATGGTAATATCCATTAATTACAAGTAATCTTGATGTATGTGAGCAGATAAAGGTATGGGATGCACAAGAAAAGCAATGTGTTAGAGCATTAATGGGTCACACCGGGAGTGTGAAATCCATTTGTTCTCATCCTACGAATCAGGGTAGGTTTGTGATTTTCCTACTTCTCTTCCTCGAATCACTCTTTTTCCCTTCCATGCTTTCTTTATTCAAAGATATGGCATGTTCTGATCCCCACATGTGATTTACTTTTAAATAGATATTATTGTATCTGGTTCAAGAGATGGGTCCTTTTCCCTATGGGACTTGAGGAGCTCGTGCAGCAGCAGTCAGATATTTTCCATACCGTAAGTACTTTATTATAACCGTAAGATCAAAATGGTGATTAAAGAGCATTATCAATTGCTGTCTTGCTTCTAGTTTCATTAGCATGAGCAAAATTGGCAACACTTTGTAGTTACTTTCCCAACTAAACAACCTGATTCAGGTCAAATTAAAGCAACTAGATTACAAATTTAAAAAGACAGGTAGAGTTAGCAGCTTTAAAGTTTAAACCAGTCTCAAATGTGTTCTTTGTTCAGGTCAATTGCAGCAGTCCACAAGGCTCACGTTTCTCCTCGTCAGAGGCGGGTTAAAGGTGGAAAGGTTTGTCCTCGTGAAGATTTCCTTTATGACCCTATTCTATACTTTTGAATGCACAATTTATTTCTTACTTCCAGCAATTATTTCAGGCTACTTCCATGAGCATTACTTCAGTCCTTTACTTGAAAGATGAGATCTCCATTGCTACTGCTGGAGCAGTTGACAGGTGTCTAAGAAAACTTGCAATGTTCCTATAATTGAGCAAGCACTTCAAAGTGGGGTTTATCGTGTGATTTGTATTATTCACTGCTTTTACTTTTAAATTTCAGTGTCATAAAGTTTTGGGATACCAGGAACCTGAAGAGTCCTATTCTCCAGGCATGCCCTCATCCTAATGTGTCATCCCATAAGGTAATGATAAAGTTAAATTGCCATGTTATGATAGGCTAGCGATGTTTTCTGTGACCTTCACAACATTGAGCAGCATTTCACTAAATTTGTTTCATTAATAACTATGATTTAACCTGGTCCCTCCTTTATGATTGGGGATGTTAAGTTTGTTCGGTTGGTTTTAATTGGCAAATGATCCAACTCGTTCATAGTTTAGCAATTCTTGATTGATTTATAACAGCTTTTGATCTTGTTCAGGGAAAGCGATTACATGGAGTATCTAGTATATCTCAAGATTTAAATGGCGTGTTTATTGCTGCTTCATGCATGGACAGCAGGTATGCCAACGTTCTGATGAATATCACACGAAGTCACAATTTTCGCCAGCTAATATGAAGACTACACCTATTATGCACAAAAAGAGAACCTAATATTCTCTCTTATTAAGCTTAAACATCTGATATTTTCTTCTTCCGTGGATCTGCATCTTTCTTCAGAATCTATCTCTACAATGTGCTTCAGCCAGAAAAAGGGCCAGTGAAAACTTTCACAGGATGCCAAATTAATTCATTTTTTGTTAAGGTGAGTGACATTGTCAATTTCCATGATCATAACTTGGAATATAAACTTTGTGGAACTAAAGAAGTTTTTGAGAATTTCAGTCAGCGATAAGTCCTGATGCAGCTCATGTACTCAGTGGTTCCAGTGATGGAAATGCCTATATATGGCAGGTCAGTTTGGTAACTACAAAGGTTGACTGGATTCCATTTATGTGGTACTAACTCCAACATACTCATGACTCAGGTGAACAAACCTCTAGCAGATCCCCTAATACTGAAAAACCATGACGGAGAAGTTACAGCAGTAGACTGGTAAGTTTGTTCAGTATTATTGATACTTGTCCCTATAGCAAATCTAACCATCATCTGAATATTCAACTGCTACAGGTGCCCATCTGAGACGGGAAAAGTTGCTACAGCATCAGATGATTTCACGGTAAGCTGTACAGATGAGCAGAACATCAGCATGATCAAATCCATAATGTTAAAACAAAAAAGAATATGATGTTGTTTGCGTTAGCTTATCTTTTGTTTGTGAGATTGCTTGCTCAATTAAGATGGTTCCAATGCACTATTTTCAAACTCTTTGGCAGGTGCGATTTTGGAACATTCAAAGCAGTTGTTACTCAAACACAAGATCTCCATCGTCCATTCGAAGAAGAGTAATGGGACTTACTAACATAGAACGTCGCAAGCTGTTCTCTGATGAAAAACCAGAAAGCATCAAGAATGACTGTCATTCAGAAAACTTGCCTAGTTCAACTAAGACTCCTGAAATCAGCACTCCAGAGTCGCAGAAGAAGAAACATTTTCAGATTTTTGAAGTTGAAAACTTTGAGAGAACTCCAGAAGCCGCAATCAGGAGCCCTTCTTCGGTTCTGAATCCTCCATCCTCTTTGAAGAGGACAATTAGAGATTACTTTGTGCACAGTCAATGAGATTAGCATTATATTTTGACGATTAGATTTCCAGTATATACATACACAACAAGTTCAGATAGATTGGGAACAACTTTATTTCCATACTCGCTTGCTTCTGGCGTCCAAGTTTTTGCTTTGCAAACTAATGGCTTGTTTTTTATGATTTTTGTAGGCTGTATTTCAAATGTAGAAATTTATGATTTTTGTAGGCTGTAATAGGAAAGAACGTCAGATTTATCTGATGAATAATGTAGTCCCCTTTGTAATAGTACAAGTGCAGAATTGAGACATTAGATGCAAGATGGATCTGGAATTTTAGATCAAGTAGGTCTAAGTACTTTGTATTTTTGTTACACATTTTAAATTGTGAGTGAGAATTTAGATTTACAAAATTTTTATGAATTTTAACTATTATTTATAAAGATCAAATGGAAAATAAATGATTTGTTCGACTACTGATCGTCACTTGCTTGTAGGGTGTACATGAGTTGGGTTGGTTCGGATTTTCTAATTATCAAACCAAACTAATTGTATCGGGTTATTAAATTTAAATACCAAATCAAACCAATAAAAGTCGGATTTTTTTAATCTCGATTTTCTTGGGTTTTTTGATTTTTTTTCACATAAAGTCTTCATAGAACAAAACGTAAAATTTGTCAACAATAAAAATAATAAAATCGCATAAAATAAATATTATTAATAAGCATAATGAAAACAAATATAATTTAAAATTATGACTAATAAGTACTATTATTTACCTGACTCACCACTAAAAGAATATTGCCAACAAAGTTTTTACTTTGCAAATATGCTTATGCTTATGTGAGATGAACTCCATTAACCAAAATATTGGCCATATTACAAATCTCTACATTGGCCTAATTTTGGCTGATATAGTAAATTTGCTCCACCCTCTCCGCAAAAGCCCCCAATGGGCATATGTCAAAATTTAATGCCATCAAAATCAGACAAGTTATCTGATACCGAAACTGTAGTAGGGCCTATAACAGTAGATCCCAATAAAGTATACAGAGAACCAGATCTGTGTGCCTTCGTGATCACAAGAGCACCATGAGAAACTTTCAGAACTCCACTTTCACCTGCGTACTTGCACCCAAGAGATTCTACAGTGCCCAAAGAGATGAGATTTTTAGTCAGGAACATGTCTAATATCGGTGAGAATTCTCACCACACCATTGTGCATTTTGATTCGGACTGTACCTTTTCCAAAAATATTTTGCAGGTAGCATTGTTGCCCATCAAGACAACTCCACCTCCAATAGATTCATATGTGGTAAATAAATCCCGATTAGGACATATATGATAAGAACAACCCGAATCAAAAATCCACTCATTGTTAGATTTAAAACTATTATTAGTTGCTAAAAAAATAGTTCCTTCAGTCTCATTAGCAGCTACACTTGCTTCGGCAGTGTGAGTATTTTTTTGCTTATATTTCTTTTCCTTATGCTTTTCTTTATTTTCTAGCTTATAGCATTCGGAGATAATGTGACCTTTCTTATGACAATAGCGACACTCTAAATTATTGTATATGGATTTTGAGTCGTGATTGCCCCTAACAAACAAGCCAACTTCCGCTTGAGTTCCACTAGCTTCCCCAGTAATATCATTATCTATCTATTTTTTTGATTTTAAGATAGATTTAATATTCTTATAAGATATATTATCCTTCGCATAAAGCATAGTATCTCTTATATACTTAAAAGATGGGGGTAGAGAACAAAGCATTAATATGACTTGATCCTCATCTTTAATTTCAACATCTATATTACTTAAATCTATAAGAATGAAATCAAATGTGTCAAAATGAGAGAGAATAGAGGTACCTTCACCCATACAAATTGTATAAAGCTTCTGCTTCAGGTAAAGTCTATTTTTCACCGTCCTCTTTATATATAAAGTTTTCAATTTTTTCTACATGTCTTTGGCCGTGGTTTTTACAGAAACTTCACGTAAAACCTCATTTGAGAGATTTAAGAAGATACATGATTTTGCCCTTTTGTCTATGACGGCAAACTCCTCGTCCGTCATTTTATCCGACTTTTTCTCCTTTCCTTGCAACGCCAAGTCTAAGCCTTCTTGAATTAGGATAGCTTCCATCTTTAATTGTCACATTCCGAAGTTTGCACTTCGATCAAATTTCTCAACATAAGTCTTTGTTAAAGTCATTTGCAAAGTGAAGACTTTGTTGACAATATTCTTTGGGACCCAAAAATATTGTATTGTGTGGTGGATATCATTTGCACAAGTTGTATCTTTTCTTTTACAGCTAAGATCCCAAGTCTTTTTTGCGAAAGGACATTAGTTCATTTTAAACGCACCAACAAGACTTGCTCTTCATTTCTTGTTTCTTCCTTTCCTCCTTTATTTAGAGTGTTTTGTATGAGAGTTGAGTGTTAGGAGTCACTTGTGTGAACCCTTTCTTTGGAGTGATCTTGTGAGATTATTCTTTTAGGGTATTTGAGATTAATTAGAGTATACTCTAATTTTGTACTCTCTTTTGTACTCTTATTGGTATAGTGAAATTGCTCCTCTCCGCTTGTGTCTGGGTCACCTTGCCCGAACCACGTTAAATTTGTGACTTCTTTATCTTCTTTAATTGTTGTTATTATCAACTTACATTGTCTTTATTATTGTCATTATAATGTCGTTTGGCTAAATTTCGCACTACCCAGGTTCCCGATCCTAACCGTTATAATGATATTAACAACCGAAAGTGTTTTGATGAATTTTTGAGTATTACAGATTAATAGTAATATCTACGTATTATCTGAGCAAGAAATTAAAGTTAAAAGTTAAAAATAATTATAAAGGACTTCTGCACATAACTGAGAGAAGTCATATTTTTCCTAATAAAATATTTTCTGGATATAACCAAAAATCTAAAAGGATTTTCTCACGGATGAGTTGGAGAATTTGATTTGATTTTTTAAAAATGGAAATCTCAAGAGGAATGTAGCAATTAAACATTCTTCCAAATAGATCGTGATATGAACTTTGTTAATAGATTCATAGCTTCCTATTAGATCTTGGTTCGTTCTAACTTAATCTTTTTTTTTTTAATTAAGAGTTACATATATCTTTCTTAATCAGACCCATTGTTATAACATCTCATGATTGTACTAGCTTATTTGCACGTGCTTTCGGGGTCTTACTCAAAAAATTGGTTTGCTTACATTTCCTTTGGCTGTATATTGTCTGAAGGAGAGGTGCTCACTTTTCAATTTTCATTACGTGCCTCTGCGTCTGAATTTCCCTTCTGCACGACAAAGTAAGGCAGATGCATATTTTCACATCAATATAAACAATTTGATAAATTTACTTATTTCATGCTATTCTTTTTGTCATATTTTTCCCTCTTTACTTTTTATTTCGGAAAGGAGTCATAGCAGAGAGACTTTTACTTTATTTATGTAATAAAATTCATTTTTTCAATGGATTCTATTCTACTTGATTTTTTTTCTCTTCAGAATCATTTAATTGATGAAACAACTAAGTAGAGAATTGTATAGGTCAAAATCAGCCCTAAAATAATTAGGGCAATATAGCACTAAGGATTGGGTCAGTCGAGGTCGATCATGAAGCAATGAGGTTTGTGGTCGAGATATCAATAACAGGCGAGATCGAACACCATTTGCAGAGTTGTAACGGCTAGTTTTCAAAATGGGATATTAATGAGAATATTTTAGTGGATATTCTCTGCACTTGTACTATTAGGGTGAGTTAGGGGTATGTCTCATATATATATAGAAAGAGACAGTGATGTAGGGCATGTGACATTCATTTGATAAAATCAGACTTTTGAGAAAATATTCTTTCTCTTTTATAAAGATACAAGCACTACCTTTTTATCATGATTCTGGTTCATATTATTCCATACTTTTTCCATCAGATCCGAGAATAATTCGAACATTCGAGGATTTACCTGTCACTCATCATTGTCAGGATGGACAATCATCTAGTTCATCCTTTATTGGGTGAACCACTTCTCCTATTTACTTAAATATCATTTAATGTTATTTATTGTTAGTTCTCCCCCTGTTATTGCACACCCTTTTTAGAACAATTAATGTATATTATAGTCAACACATTTCCAGATCTGTCTAATGTTACTCATGTTTTCGAAATTCACATCTAGAGATATTATTTTTAACTAAGTTTAACCCGTTATTATATAAACTCTAACTGTTTTTATTTCGGAAAGCAATCATATAGCAGAGAGACTTTTACTTTATTTATGTAATAAATTCATCTTTTCAATGGATTCTATTCTACTTGATTTTTCTCTCTTCAGAATCATGTAATTGATGAAACAATTAAGTAGAGAATGGGAAGATGTGAGTCTTATATATAGAGATGTCAAAACGGGCCAGTTTGGCCCAGCCCAGTCCAAGTATTGCGGGTTTTTAAATTTGATGGACTAGGATTGGCCGGCCTCGGGGGCTAGCGGGCTGACTTGCGCTGTGTTTATAAGCCTCAGTTTTAAATGGGCTCAAAAAATTCTAATCCAACCCTATCCAAACAGCGGACTGGGTTGGGCTATCCTCACTTCACGGCTACTTGCTATTTTATTTGACACCTCCATTAATCATTGTTTCTACTGTGTATGCTAGCTACTCCGTGTAGGCAACTATTTAAGAAGAGCTTTTGCTTTCCGGATCCTAATAGAGTAGGCAACTATTCAGGCTACTGTCGTTATAGAAAAAGACGACGCCGCATACAGTTATTTCAAGATGCCAAAATGTTCACAAGCGAGCATAAACACATTAGTAAGGTTTAAAAAAATGTCCAATGTAGAAGTCAGATATTTCAAACAGTTTTTTTTTCTCTTTTCATACGCTATTGACTTGGGAACAAAGATGGTTGAAATTTTATGTTAAACTACTCTATATTATTTTGATATGCATGGTTCTTTTGGGGAGGTGGTCGGAGGGTGGTGGACATATGTGTCTTCAGTCGATTAAGAACGTAATTAGGAATGAGATGAAAATTAGAACGTAAGTTTCGAGCTAATTACACTTAGGAACCAATCATGAACATCTTTTTTTTAGCTTAATATAGCTTAAATAAGGGACATTTGCACAAAAGACCTTTTTTTGCGGCTGCTAGTTAACTTCTGTCCCCAATAGCTAGTGGGCTAAATATATATATCTTTAAAAAGAAGAATCTACATTCAACTAAAAGTGAAATTTAGCACACTGAACTAACAGGAGAGTGGTCCCAAAAAAGACTATATAGATGGTGCAAAATAAGAATTCACATATATATTGGAAACATATATTTCTCCACATATACATATACACAAACTCAATAATCCACCAAATTGATAGGATTGTTTTATACGTTAAGGTTTGCTTTCCCCTCCGCCTCCGGGAAACAAAGTTAACAAATACTAACAATATATATCTAGCTAGAATATCCTGATCAATCACCTGCCACTATCATGGTCAAATCCATTGTTATGATCTCCTGAAATACGACTATTCCATGCAGAAGAATAACTAGGACTAAACATTCCACTACCCGTTCCTCCTCCTGACTCATAATTGGTGTATCGCATTAAGTCAGCATTTGTGGCATCGAGTTCTTTTTGAAGGCGAATAACTTGCTTTTGGAGAACTGAAATTGCTCCAACACAGCCATAGACTGGATCTTTTAAGCGCGCTTCGGCTTCATAAGCCAGAGAATTCACTGCATCTTCTCTCTGATGTGGTTGGATTTCATTCAGGAGTTTACTTACGTTGCTCGCACCAAATACTTTGTGTACGGTGGTGAACTTTATTGGCTCCTCCGGAGGGAAATAAGGAGCAAAAATGCAACTTGGCAAACATTTTCTTCTCAAGAATTTGCAGGCTGCGCATGGAGGATTGGAGTAGTTGCTTGAAGAAGACATCTTGCTCACAAACAACACTTATCTAATTCATGCAAAGTTCAAGTTATATATATTTACAACGTATAATACCTTTACTCTATCAATGAAATTTTGTGACCAACGTCGGTTAAAGTTATACATACTGACATTGTAAAATCAATTTAATCGGTTACAACATCACTACTTTATTTCCTACATTACCATATCACACTAAATATGAAAAGTTATCCTTTGTTGTAGGCCAGTTTACTATGATGTTGTTAAAACATATATACTCAAAACTTAAATTCCAATTATAAGTTACTTCCTCCATTCCAATTTATGTTATAGCGCTTAACTCGGCATGAAATTTAAGGGAAAAAAAGATTTTTGAAATTTGCGATCGAATACAAGATGTGGCTATAAACTAGTATCTCATTAAAAGTAAAATGAAAAATTTAAAGTTAAATCCAAATATAAAAAGAAGTCATTCTCTAAGAAAAAAAATAAAATGAAATATCATCGCATAAATTAGGACGAAGAATTTAATATTTCAGGTCACAATATCAGAAATAATAGTAGGTCAACTTATTAACCTAAAAGTGTAAGGTCTTTTTACACCGTAAATCAACATAACACAAATTCATTGGTAAATATGCGCGGTAGCATATTAAAGATTAAAGCTAATGAAAAAGGTCTTTTTTTTGCCAAACATATCAAAAAGAGATATTTCAGACCTTAACATTATTGACAAATAAATACTCATATAGGCAAGTTTTAGTTTAAATCTTGAATATGTGATTAAATGTCTAAGAGAATCTCCATGATTCTCAATTCGCATGATCAAATGAATTCTTAACATTTTCCAGCTCTTTAAAAAAAAGAAAAAGAATTCTTATGAGCATGTCATTGCAAATGAGATTCAATGATCTAAGAATTATAAGATCACAGACTTTGGCTATGTATAGTATATGATTATAGGTAGAACAACAACAACAATAAACCTAGTGAAATTCCACAAATTGATTTGTGGAGGGTAGTATGTACGCAGATCTTACCCCTACCCTAAAAAGGTAAAATGGTTATTTCCGATAGACCCTCGGCTCAAGAGTAACAGTGTTACAAAATCGATTTAAGGCACGAGCATACAAAATGGATTAACGTTATTACTTTGCCAGTGGAAAAAATGACACAACTAAAATATTTCTGTAATGGTTCTAACATCAAACTTAACATCAATTTTCCTCTATAGGGAATCTTTTTGAAACTGTAATGAGAAACACCTAAATTGTTATCCTTCTCTTATTTAATTTCTTCATCTTGCAGGCCTTGACTAAATTTAAAGTTTCCATATATGGAGCTCAAAATTTTAATCAACAACATATTTATAGTTCCTTCTGCTACTCAATCATATTCAGCCTTCTTCATATTGTTGCATCTACTACTTTATATTAAATTAGGTTCCTTTAGGATAGGATTAAAACTTTTTTTGGAAATATTAATAAGCGAAAGGGAGATGGGATCAAACTAAAACCATGCTCAAAGGCTCACAGAAAAATGTCTAAACTCGGTAAATTTAATTTGGCAGCATGCTTAGTTACTTCCAAAGCCAAAGGTAAGGATAATATGTGTATTGCCATAATATATAAAATTTAGTGAACCCGAAATTGTCAAAGTCATCAGTAACAAAACAGTGAGACATGAGAACTTACTACGGCTTCTAAGTCTTTTAGATTTTATCCGACATTCCACCTGCAAAGTTCCGCAAAACAAGACTTTAAAGATCAAACTACAAAATCTAAAGTCAGACAAGTGTTTCATTTGATTGTCTTTCTAAAGATGCCAATACGCATCTTTTGGAAAACGTCTAAAGAAATTGTTAACGGTTATATATAGATCTACATCTTAGAGTGATTTCAGATCTAGAATTGAAAGGAAAAAAGAAGAAGCTATATAGTGATACCTATTATTCTTGGTAGTGCCAAATATTTCAAGCTTTGTCGTTTGCTTCTCCTAAGATTAAGGAGATCGCACCATTATAGAGCTATATAGGAAAGGATTATAAAAAGGTATTGGATTTTTGTAGAAGTTTTTGAAAGGGAAGAAAACCCTAGCAGGCAATAAACACTATGAACAAAAAGCTGAGGGAGATGATGAGAGAGAAACAAAGACAAGGCAATAAGCATTAAGTGAATGGAGATTGAACGGAAAGCAAAAAAGCAGAAAAGGACCAACCATAATAAATAGGAGATGCAATAATTTAAACAATGGTAACTGTAAAGCCTCGGCCGACTTGATTAATGTCCAAGAGATTGAGGCCAAGGGTTTTAATTTGTCCGACAATTTTTACATTCCCAAACGAGTTATAAATGCAACAATACCATACTTTTGGTGCTTCAATAAATTACTGTAAAAACAAAAGAAGAATGGATGGAACAATTTTTCACTCCAATTAATGGCCTGGTTTAGTATCTAGGCTCTGCTTTCAGTTTAGACTTTAGATTTTAATCTGTGAAGAAAAATATAGGTGCTTGGGTTTGTGTATTCATAATTAAACACATACATATACATATTAGTGCTACACCTTTTACCATATCATCGGGTTATTAAATTGATCTATAAGTAATAGAAAACCTTTCATAGCAAATCTGATACGGTGACGTGGAATTTAGAGTAATAATCTTTTATAGCTAATTAAATTAAATAGTGTAAAATGATGTTACCATAACATTCATTTCTATGGATATTAATATCTTATGAGAACATAACAAGTACCCGCATACTATTTTCATAGTCTCCTGTTAATTTTACTGATAATTTTTTCCACTAGATCATGCATATCAACATATTTCTCACCCCACGACAATTTATTAGAGGCCAAAGGCCATGACTGGACTTCTTGCAACTCCGATTGATGATTACCTCTTTTGCTATGTTGTATTTTACTCAAACAGAACTCTTTTAATGCTATTTGGCATTAGTCTATGTATGATTTTGTCATTGACATATTTTAGCTCTGACTAAAATACTCATAAAGAAAACTCTCCATGTCTTTCCATATAAAAAGAAATATTTTTCTAATATCTGCTCGATGTTGCATTGACGCTTTATTGATAGTGGGTACTAGGTATATATACGTTTTTTTTAAAGAAAAAAAAAGTATTAACACATGTGGAGCTAAGATTTTAACTTTATTATTTTTGAAGTTTAGAATGACCATTTCAAGTACTAATAACTGAATTTTATAATTTAAAATCTGTACATATTTAATAAATTTATTAATACAAATACACTTTTGAGGCTTCTAACTCCGCCTCTAATATCAATATAATAGTATAAAAGGGAGACTCTACCATTAAAGAATAATCAGGAAGAATCACCCAAATATAAAAGCTGCTACGGATCAATAGAAAGAAGAGGACAGAAAGTATTCTTGTAAAAGGTTCATATAGAAAACTCCCGGGCCACTACCAAATACATGGATATTCCTCAAATTTAATTGATCAAAACACCAGCTTCTATTATTGAGTTCACCTAAAAACACTCATCGCCTCTATTATTGAAGTCTTACATAGAAACAGTGACTAAATCTTTATGTGCATGTGAACAATAATGTCAACACTGATTGAAAATCTTCTTGAGATGACAGATAAAATTGCACGAATAGTTCAAGTTTCTGTTCTTTTCAGTTTTCACTTCATTATTCCTTTTACCTTTCTTTTCCTTTTCTTTTCCTTGCCTGGTCTGTCCCAACATGATAGACAAATTGCATGTTATCAGTGGTTGTCAGAAAATTTTGAATTTCTGTATTAACGTCGTAGATGCAGCTGTACAGTTAAGAGCACTATCAAAACTTCTTGAAACTTATGTGTGAGGGTTAGATCGGTGAGACTTACGCTAGGTGACGGAGACAGGATTACCGCCAAGGGGTTCAAAAAAAAAGGAAAAAGTTAAAAAGGTTATAGCTAGTGAGAATAAAACCAATGGCCTTACAAAGGTTTTGAACTCTCCTGACCACTAAGTTATGCTTTTGGACTGTGTCAATGAGATTCAAAACATAATATATAGAGGTAAAAAATAGATTTTGCGTTACATATATAGTATAATTTTTCGGCGAAGGGAGTTCGGATGAACACTATGCAAATCATGTGTTGAATTCACTAATTTGCATTGTTGACTCTCAAAATTCTTTAACAAATAAATTATTAAAGTTCTTTTTATATGTAGAAATATAAAAATTGTGAATAACTCCAATAACGAACCATAGTATTGCATATTTCCTAATTGAGAACATCGTGATAGTGAATATCATTTGAATATTTTTTCTAAAAATAGATAACCAAAATTTATATCTTTACTTGATAGATTTTCGTGTCTTAGTTCTATGTCTCTCAAAAGTATCATACATTTATTATTTTACTATTTAAAAATATTTTATATTTACTCATGAATGAGTAATATTTTAAATTACAGTATTTATAAAATTTAATGAGCATTTACTTTTAAGGAGGTAAAATATATAATTTGATAAATTTTTTTAAGAAATTATGATTTTTAATTGTTTGAAAGTTTAGACATTGTAGTTAATTTATATTTCATAGTAACTTTAATAGTATTGTATTATTTATACTTATAAAACATGCTAGATATTTTATTTTATATGAGTTTCTTTAATTCTTTTTAGTTTTCTCGAACTTTTAATGTACCTTTTATATTTTTTGTGTTATAATGCTATATTATTAATTCATAAATTTAAAAAATTAAAGATTCGTGGAGCTTACGTCCCATGTCTCAAAACTTTCGCCTCGTCCCGTATTAAGTAAAAGACCTCGCCTCACACCCTCACATTTTAAAACACTGCTCTCAAGTTGTCTGTATGTTTTTCTTTTGTTGTCAAAACGATAGTAATTCTTCTTAATAATACTCCATAATTAGCTACTACTATTGCATGAGGTTTTTCTTAGGGAAGCTGCACCACTAGAAGATCATTAACAAGAACACGTAATACAAAATTTTCTCCTGATGGTCATTAACAAGAGAAGGTAAATCGAGTAGCGCATCCACATTTTGAAACATAACAACGGTGACTAATTGAGGCGGATTCAAGATTTTAAAGTCTAGTTCAAAAATATAACTTCATTTTACAAAAATGGATACCCTAATTAATACTATTAATTTCTTTTGATTGTAGCTTTAGGCGATCAGATCCTCTTGCGGATTTACCATTTTGGACGCAGAGGAAGCATTCTAGCCCAAGAATACATCTCCTTATCTTTTTTGATTGTTGTTCTTCTTTAATTTTTCCTCTTTCTAAGTCGGCCGTACAAAATTAAAACCGAAAGCAGGGCTTAAATTTTTGGTCAAGAGCTTAAATTAAATAACGAGCCGCAATGATGAAGTACTGATTAAGGGCTTCTTCTTTTTCTAGGAGGTGGGAATCCATTCTGATTGTGGAAATCTGGTGTCCTCTCATGATCGTAAATGAGCATTTTCCATTAGATTTTTTTTTTTCGAGGTACATGAATCTATGTACTTTATATGCGTGCTTTATAAATAACTACTAATAAAAGGAAACTGCTATACAATTATTAAGATCAATTCTTTATGATCATGAAGGTTAGCCATATCTAATTCCATCGCAACTTTAGCTTATAGTTATTTTAATAAAGTCATGAAAACTTCAATTGCCAAAATATTAGATTCTCAATCTCTTGGAAAATCATATTTTATTGTTACTTTATAAAATGCAAACTGCTAAAAAAACATAATTAGCTTGAATTCCCAGTGCTGGGATATTTCTTTGATTAAAATTAATAGAATCCCTCTTTGGGAAATGGGTTTCTGTATAAAGAATAAAGATAACTACAGATCAAATTGAAATGTGCTTCTAATGATTAGGGAGTGGAGTATTGGTCCTTTGAGAGTATTTGTATGTAATATAATATAATATACGCCTCTGACCCCAAGTACATTATCTATTTACGTAATTTTGGTCCATAGCATTTTGTCTATTCCTGCGTAACATCTAGATGCTAGCCTTTTGGTAGATAGACAATAGATTCTGTAGATTATGGCTTCAAGAGTTCAAGTAGCCCTATTTGACATCTTTTTAATTATAAGTGCTTCTGCTAGTTTTAGTAGGAAAAGAAAAAGATGGGGCTCGGATTAACCTAATAATTTTCAATGCTACGAATGCGATTGGTTCCATTCCAGTTCCTAAATCTGCATCTTCTATGGCAATGTATAAAATAAGGATGAAGAAAGAGTACTTTTTCACTTAAATTGAATTAACTTGGAATGTATTGAATTTTTTACTTAAACGGAAAGAAATTGATAATATTCCTGGGAACAGATATTCAAAATTCAGGAAGCAGGAAGGAAATTAAGGCCATAGTACATGCGTGGAAGGAGGGTCCAAGAAATTGAAACTTAGGACTTTACTGACAATTTTCTCTATAATAGAAATATAGAATATATTATACGATATGCTTTGACAGAGACCGTCGAGTATAGACTATATAACACAAAGATATAGGCTTTTCATATTAGCCGACCACCTATGCAATTATGAGCTCACGTTCTTTGTTTCTGGTTGAGTCTATGTAAAAGGGAGGTACCTCTCCACAAACAATAATTTTAATATGATGGCATGACATTTACAATGATAAGGAGTGGATTTAAAAACTTGTTTTTGGCCCATCACATCCACTTCTTTTCTTTACGCTTTTTCTAGGTTTGGTAGTTGTTAAGGACATTAATCTTTAGCAAAAAAAGTAAAAGTAAAATAAAAAGGACATTAATCATTTAGGGATCGTTTGGTAGAATGTATTAGACGTACAAAATAATATATGTATTATCTTTAGTATTATTAATTCCTTGTTTGGTAGTGTTTTTCAATGTATGCATAACTAATACACCTTATTCAATATTATTCTTGTACATAGTAAACTATGACATTAACAATACCATGATTTTTAATACATGTATAAAGATAAAACTGTCCATTCAAAACCTTTAATGTACCAAACGAAACAATCGATAGGAAATAATCTCATCATAACTAATCCCAACATTACTAATATCAGGGTTACTAAGGCTATCTATAACCCTTGCCTCCATTTTCTCCTCTAAAATGGAGTAAAGTTACTCCAACCATTACTCTATTTTTTACTCCAAAAAGAATATTTCATTTTATATTCTTCTCTCTCTTCAATATTATATTATTATTTTTTATTTAAATTTTATTTTCTTATTTCTATTAAAGAAATTCTATATTCACTACTAGAAATTCGGCAAAAACCGACCAACTTTGGT